ACAACAATTTTGTCAGAAGCATAAAGTTAATTTTTATTTTTTGTAAATAATATAACTTTTTTATTTCAAAATTCAATCTACAAAGTGCGTATATACCATTTTATATGTCGTCGTCTTATTTATATTATAGAAACTAATTTTGCAAACTACGCCTATGGAATGTGACGTTATATTCCCACTTTTACTGCACTCCTCTTTTATTTAGATTATAACAATTTTTGCTTACCTTTTTGAATAGCTATGAGATATTTCCCCTTTTCTTCCACTTTTATTACAAATGAAACACGTAGTTGTTTGTCGAAGGTTTCAAATTAAAGAGGGCGTTTCTAAATTACTTTTACAGATAAAAATAGTCTGCTGACTAATGTATCTCTTTCTACATGCTTTGTGATACGTTATTGTTTTCCCCAATAATATGTCACCCTTTTCGAATAAAATGTCTTTAGTTAAAGAACCTAACCTTTTTTTCTGTATCTGAAATGATTGTTTTGTTTAGTTTTTTTTTGCGAATATTATATTCCATATTTTAAATACATACATTTAACCGTGATTAACATCAAAAAACTATGTGACTTTATTTATTCTGTAGGTATCCACTTAAAACACTACTTGCCATTAACTTGACTCTATTATTATTGCAACAGCACCCAAAGCCCAGAAAAGTCGATAAGCGCGCGCCGCGAGACCCATATTGGAAAAAATTCATAGCATACAAACGGTTTTACCAAAAACTTTTCAGAACCTCTCTCTTCGTTAAATTCACAGCATATTTTCAAAAATAAAAAAAATTGTCGCATGTCGAAATTTACTCTGCATGAACGGTGTAAGGTGGAAGTTTTTAATTATTTTCTTTAAAAAATATTGCGATATATATTAAATATTTAATGCTTTTAGAGGCGCTCATATTTCTACTACAATAAAAAAATCGATCAAATCGGTAAGTGCCTTAAATATTTAGTGAGATGATGTTCTATTTGATAAAAACCAACTGTTTTATATAAATATAAAAATTTTACATTTTTCAAAAATAAACAGGTCTGCTCAGACCGGAAATGTCGGGAACTATCATTTTTGGTGCACAATTATGTAAGAAACACAGCTATATAGGTTTCATTTGGTTCTAAGCAAAAAAATGTTTTTTTTTGTATTGAATTCTGATTTTATTCGACTTTGTCTTTGCCTTACATTTCTGTCTTAATATCATTATAAGGAGTCCATTTTTATGGTATGGGAGATATAATAAAAGGAAAAACTTTCCTTATGAAAACTTCAATAAACTACGCTAATAAAAAAGTTGGAAACTTTGGCCAAATTGGCCCCATTGTTGTGCTGATACTTGTGAAAAGTTATTCCTAATGTTCTATTTTTATCTACACCAACTCTGCTTCAACAAACATGTAAAGCACATGACAGCATGTTTTTTATTAAAATAAAAAATAAATTAATAAAAACGGCCACTGAAACCCACTAAATTGTAACACAATTCGAAAAAATAAACACCAATATTTGATGACGGACTGAATATATTTATTTAGGCGTTTACCAGAAAAACCTAATGGTTAACACAAGGCAAAACTTATTTTTTCAATGAAGTTTAAGGGGACATATTTTTTTCAACAGGAATCGATAGGTGTCATGTTTAAGAACAAAAATGTAAAAATTTTAAACAATCCGGTGTGAGCTATAAACGTTATCATAAAAAAATGACGGCCGTTTCATATTTTTAAAAATGAAATATCTTATCCCTTCGAGTCATTTTAACATTCTTGTTTTAAGTTTGTAGGCAATTTTAAGTTCAACAAAAACCTATTACAAAAAAATAATCTAATAATTGTACGTAATATTTCAATTTATGTTTATTGACACAAAAACAAGTTTCAAATAAAAGTTATATGGATTTAAAAAATACCTATTTTAAAAATATTTTTAGATATACAGGATGTTGCGTTTTTTCCTGGAAAATAAAAATGTATATTTTTTAAATATACATATATTTTAGTTTTGTAATGGTTTGGTAAATCTGTAAACAACCCTAGAATTTTTTACAATAATTACTGGTTTGCCAAGCAAGAAATATTTTTATGAAATTAGAGAATGATGCAGATCTCAAATTAAATTATCATAATTAAGGTAGGTTTACAATAATTTTAAAATTGTTTAAAATACAGACTTATAATACTTACGAATAGTGGTGATGGAACTGGGTTATTTTATACAGAGTTTTTTTAAACATGTCATAAATATAACCAATTTTAAGTTCAATTTACTTAGTTTTTCAAATGCAACAATCTGTATATTATTTAATCATATAATACCTTATAAATTTACCTATCCAACGATACCAATAGATTAGCCATTAACACATATGCAGGATATCCCATCAGTGCGGTATTGATCGATAATTGTTTTATTATCGGAAATAATTTAAAAAAAAATCATTTAAAAATTAAAATAAATTAAAAATTCAATAAATATTCTTAAATATACAGGGTGATCCATAAACGAGAAGCTGACCAAACTTATACATTTTTAAAGCAAAACAACCTGCAGGTAGTTATAAATATTTGGTTGTTTTCACATCGTCAAACAATTACAATAGACTTTATTCATTTGCTTTTTTATGTATAGGGTGTGTCAAAATGCGAGGTAACATGTATGACCCAAACGTGCGTAGCCTGAATAGTAGAATTTAATCATTACGTTTTCGCGGGAGTAATTACCATGGTTTTACATTATTTTTAATTTCTTTGAGTTTAGAAGAACAAGACGACCACTTAGATTCCCACGCACTGAACACTTTTGCTTTAATGAACCATTTTACGTCAATACTCAATAATAATTGAAGCTCTGTGAAGCTGGCCCCCTGAAATTCGAAAATTTTAGTTTTAAAAGCGGTATACGTTTGACCACCTATTGACCATGTTTGACCACCCACTAACTTATTTTGACCACCCTCAGAAACCTAAATATTTAAAAAAATAATAATGACCGAATGCCCGCTGGCCATCCAAAGTTAATATTTTTTAAAACTGACGGCACCATAGGATTAACCAATTTTTGACCATGTTTGACCACACCTTCGATTTTTTCAACACCCCTTAAAATAATTTAAAGGGGGTAAATTATAGAAAAACAAAAGTTCTGGGATGCATTTTAACTTCTAAAGATATATCAATGGTTAGAAAGACAAAATAGGATCCAAAAACGTTTAAAAGTATGTATCGCCGTTTGATCACTCCCTAAAATATCTTGAAATACCCCAGAGGGGTTAAAAATTCAAAGAAAATATTTCCCAATCTAATTTCTAGTTTAAAAAAATAGTCAAACGACATAAGGACATAATAGATATCTATAAAGGTTTAAAATTATGTTTTGACGTTTGACCACCCCCTAAAATAATTTTAATGTTTCTAAGTATTGTAAAAATTCGAAAAATAAAATTTGGATATCGAATTTCGGCGTGGAAAAATGGTCAAACGACATAAACTTAAAATTAAGATCTATTACGATGTAGAATTGTGTTTTGACGTTTGACCACCCCCTAAAATAATTTTAATGTTTCTAAGTATTGTGAAAATTCGAAAAATAAAATTTGGATATCGAATTTCGGCGTGGAAAAAATGGTCAAACGATATAAACTTAAAATTAAGATCTATTACGATTTAGAATTGTGTTTTGACGTTTGACCACCCCCTAAAATAATTTTAATGTTTCTAAGTATTGTGAAAATTCGAAAAATTAAATTTGGAAATCGAATTTCGGCTGGGAAAAAATGGCCAAACGACATTAGTTTAAAATTAAGATCTATTACTATTTAGTATTGTGTTTTAACATTTGACCACCTCCTAAAATAATTTTAATGTTTCTAAGTATTGTAAAAATTCAAAAAATTTATTTCGAAAATCGAATTTCGGCATGGAAAAAATAGTCAAACGACATAAACTAAAAATTGAGATCTGTTACGATTTAGAATTGTGTTTTGACGTTTGACCATCCCCTAAAATAATTTTAATGTTTCTAAGTATTGTGAAAATTCGAAAAATTAAATTTGGAAATCGAATTTCGGCTGGGAAAAAATGGCCAAACGACATTAGTTTAAAATTAAGATCTATTACGATTTAGAATTGTGGTTTGACGTTTGACCACCCCCTAAAATAATTTTAATGTTTCTAAGTATTGTGAAAATTCGAAAAATAAAATTGGAAAATTGAATTTTGGCTTGGAAAAAATAATCAAACGACTTAAGTTTAAAATTAAGATCTGCTACGATTTATAATTTGGTTTCGACGATTGACCACACCCTAAAAAAATTTAATGTTTGTAAGTATTGTGAAAATTTAAAAAATTAAATTGGAAAATCGAATTTCGGCTTGGAAAAAATAGTCAAACGACATTAGTTTCTGAAGGTCTCTCCATTTTGAGTATGAAATTTTTCGCCTATATTTGTTTAGAGGACATGCACTGGAAAGTAAAGAGAAGCTTTTAGCAGCTTTTTTCGGTCTTCTGGGTAAAGCAGAATACTCGTGATCAAAGTTGGTTTTAATACTAATCTCACCCTTACATACTTAATTGCCTTAATATCCACAACGGTTGGATCACCAGTAATTCTTCCTGGTCTAATTGAATCATACACCAAAAAGTTTTTGTGAGAATAGTCTTTGAAAAAAGTATGATTAAGAAAATGGCTTTCATATGGGAAAGGCTTTCGTCTAGCTTCCCTTGTAATAGTACAGTATTGTCCAGGTAGATATATGTCCTTGTTTTTCAGTTTTGTTTCGATGGCACTGTGTACCGAATCGCACTCCATCTGCGTATGTCCTTCGGTCAAAAATTTCTGTTCTATATCAACAATAAACTCTTTGCTTAAATGTAACAAGACATTAGATAGAACTGTATTCCGATTTTGATAATTATAGCCGTCAGACCAAAGGATAACCGGTATAAATTATCTGAAAAATTTTTAGATAGTGTCTGAACAATGCATGATGCAAATAAAGAAGCTACAAGATCCGTGGCGGTCTCGTCAAACCAGTAGCAAACAACTGCATGGGTTTGGAGATTGTAAAATTGTGTACGTTTAGTTTTTTTTTATAATAAAACGCGCGAGCCCTTGTAAGAGGAGGTAACTTAACAGCTTGGAGATCTTGGGTAAATACGTGTGCTAAATTACTTACTGCCTTTTCTTTGTCCCGGTTTTTTTCAGTTCTGGCTTTATTCTTTGTTTCTTTATGTTTAGCGTATTTTTTCTCAGCAAGATTTCCAGTTTCGTGAGCACAGCACAAATCACACTGATCTTTTTTAGGAGAAAACAGTGAAAGATTCTGTCCTTTAAAAATTGAATCGAATGTAAATCTGCTCACTTTTGTAACATTTTCTTGTTGGCATTTTTCAAGATATAAATTGTATAGCTGAGAGGCTGACGTAACTAAAGGTTCTAGATATTTTCGGGTGGTAGATTGTCTACAATAATGAGAAGGCATTTTTTGTAACGAATCGATAAATGAATTAACAAATAGCTTGTCATCTTTTCGTCTACGTGAAGCTACATCAGCAGTCCGTGAATGAGTTATTAAAGAACTTGGAGCTATAGTTGTTCCCTCTTTCTGAATGTTATCTATCCAATAACGTACTGTCCATTTTTTAATTCCAAACGTATTAAGATACATATTACAACAAACCTGTTTTCTATTGTCATTAATATTTATAAAATAATGGAGGGATGCTTGACGCCTAGAATTCTCACTTTGATTTCGGCGACGTTTAACGGGTTGCTTTTCTACAGTATTCAGTATGAACGTTTTCCTTTGATCCCAGGTCATTATTTTCCAGAAAGCAGTAAAAAGATCTTTTCTTTTTTCTTCCTGCAATTCATTGCATGACCTGTTCTTCGATTTTTTGCACATCTCAGAACGACAGGGTGGTCCCATTCTGCGTTCATTTCTCTCAACATCGTGAAAAATCTTCCCTTGTTGAGTTCTTCGATATCCTAAATAGGATTCTCCATTCTTAATCTTTTGTTTTTTTGTGGTTTTCCATTCACTCCGGTTTCCTTTCTTTCGTTTTTTTTCTGCATGTGCATCGCCATCAAAAGGAATGTTTGATTCTAAATCTCCTCCAAGTTCATAATCACTATCCTCATCTGTGCCTGCTTCGAGTTGGTTTGGATCTTCTGGAATGGCATTTTTGTGGTTTTGAGATTCAGACACATCTCTAACTAATATCGGACTCTGAATATTCTCCAGTAACTTCTCTTTAAGTGGGAAAGTCTTTTTTTCTAACAAAAAATGTCTAGATGTAGAAATCACATCGGAAGTCGAACAAACGTCTTGAGTATTTAGCATTGTATTTATGTTTGAAAAACAGTTGGAATTTTCCTCATGATTTAGAGTTTGCAGACGAAAATCTTTATTTACACTTTCATGTGGCAAAATAAGCAGTCCTTCTTTAAGCGACAACTCGGCAGCTTTAGGACCTATTCCTAGTGAAATCAGACCATCAGGAGACTGTTTTCTACGTTTGTCTCCTCGTACAAGTCTGGAACTATTTGCATTATGGTATTATTCAAGGGCTGCGTAAAGTTCGGAATCGCTAAAAAAGTTATCATTCTGCTCTGTCGCCTCTTCAGTAGATGACTGGCTGTCTTCTCAGTCCATAACTGTTGGATAAAATAGATAACATTAAAAATAAAAAAGTAAAAAGCTATGAGAACTAATACCGCATATGTCACATGTTTGCTTAAAAAAATATAAATGTATTATATTTGGTACCGCTTAACTCCATTGCCGCATTTAAGTCAGATTTTATTTAGTTAAGCCTAAAGTCTAAACATAATTAATACTTTATTTTAATAAGTAAACATGTACAGTTCAATAGTTTCCATATTTAATAAGTATTACTTACCTAATGTAGTAAAAAAGTGCCCAAAAACTGCCTGTCATTTGTATAACCTCCAAATACCACGTTCTAACTGGGAAATCGGCGGTATTACCAAATGATTTTCAATAGGCGGTATTTTTAAAACAGGTGGGGAGACAAAACTGCTGATTAAAACGACCGTCAGGCAAGGTTAGACGATGCATATGCGCGCTATTGGGATATTTAATGCAAAATCCAAATTTCAACAAATATGTCACTTAGGCGGTATTGTTTCTTAAACGACGATATTTTAAATTGGAAGCGGCAACGCGTTGCTTAGGGCTTCAGTATGTACGTAATAATTTAGAATAAATAGTACCTATATACTCGTATAAGAATCGCCCGCTTACCTCACCGCGTAGCTCTACCCTTGCCGCTTCACTGTATTTTGTACTCTTAAAACAATATCGCAAGTGGCTGTTTTTTTTTAATAACTTTAATTGACGTCTGATTTTTTCAGATGTTTAGATTTGAATTCTATGATAGGAGAGCTGGTCTTCTGAACAAAAATTTAAATGTACATTAACGTATTTTTTTTTAAATTTGCTGGATCGGTTATTACTTTCTGCTTCTACACTACTGTTTTACCTGATTTTCAAAAATAAATGTAAAAAATTCATGCGTTGTAATTGATGGGTAATTTTCTAGTAACACAAACACTACATTTATATTTACTTTTTAAACAGATATTGTATAAAAATAATAAATCTTCCCAGCTGGGTTAAAATTAACTATCATTAAAGTTTATAAAGTCATCAACACTTAACTAGATTGCTTCTGAAAGTCTGATTAAATTTCATAATTACTTGAGTTCAACATATGTGCGTGGTGCAAAATATTATCTTTGAGAAAACTAATTTGAATATTTAATTTGTCAAGTTAATGTTTTAGCTTTATATACAAAAAATGTAATCCATAAAACATTTTAACTTTTGTAATTACGAGAATGAACTAAAAAGTTTGTATGACGACAGTACGAAAGAGAACGAGATAGCCAAAGCCTGTGCGGGAAAGGATATAAATTGAATTTGTGCAGCTGCCGTCCAAACAACGACGAACAACGACAAGACCACTTTTGTTTATAAAAGGCGAATTGCAAACATTCACATTGTTATCCAATACAGTTACCAAATTATTATGTGAGTGTACAGTCCAAGGATTTTTTTATAAATCTGAATTTACTTAACAAAAGGCTCAACAAATTATCAATTTAACTTATTTTGCAGTGTGACAACAGTAGTAGATGAGTTCGGGCTACGCACTCTTTTCACTATATTCGCTCCTAAAGTACCTAATGCGTTCGGGAACGGAAGGAGTAAAAATAAAAGTTCCTTTTTGACCGTTCGGATATCGAGGATTGGAGTGTGGATCAGGCATGCGCATAGGGTGATTTAAATCGATAATAAGATAATTGTGACTAATTCTTAAGTGGAAATGCTTTTTTGTTTGGTTCCCTTGCATACCATTAATATGGAAAAAACTTATACGGTTGTTACTGATAAGTACGTTTAGGGTTTAAGTATTAGTAAATCACATTGACAACTGACATTGAACTCTGGGAGTAAAAGGAGTAAAAATATATGCGAACTCCGTTTACGCCTACTTAGTTCACTCCACTCTGGAGTGCGCAGCCCGAACTCACCTAATATAAAGCAAGTACTCAGCTTGGTGGACGCCTCTCTCTTTCTAATGCCTCAGCTGTTTAAATTATTTGAACCACTCCCGAGTAATAAATTATTTAGTTGTAAATGGAATATTCGGTTGTAAATTATTGTCACAACTAAACGGTTCTGAATTCGATCTTTGTATCAGCTAAGCATATGTTATAAATTGGGCTTTGTTTTTCATATTCCGACCAGACAATTAAGAGAGTAATTCTTGCATAACAAATTCTAGAAAATTTCTCTTTTCTGAAAATGACATGTGCTCAGCATCTGTTTTCATCGAGAATGTATGTTTAAACGCCTCGAAGGAGAGTTAAGTTTAAAAACTAATATAATATAGTCTTCAGTTGTGAAGAGTCGCGGTTAGTTTCTGTAAATGGTATGACGATTTAAAGTGAAGGTTTTCTTCACTCCGTAATGTTGAGATGGTCTTTCGATTTATTAGAGTTTTTTTAATGTAATCCGGTGTGTTTTATTCCGGTAAATACAATATGACCATAAATATAAAATATCGAAATTTTAACTCGTAATCAGAGTTGCTATGGAAGTGACACTGACGCCAAACTTGTTTTAAACAAATACTAATTTGTTATCTGTCAGGATATATAACACTGTGAACAAGATGCTTACAACCGACGAAAAAATTTTTAATGTGAAGCTTATAATCGCTCATACGAGTTTGGCAGAAATAATAGACCCAGCATTAAATGGGTTGGATCTCAATTTAAGACGGTTTTGAGCTATGCGTCCAACAAAATGGTGGGCATATATATAGCAAGCATATCATAAGACTTTGTCCTATATTAAAATTCATCAATTAACGAAAGCTCTCTGGTGTAGAGCGTTGTCGGTCGAATATACAAATACACTATATATATTTTTTTCGCTTCAGCATTGTATATTTCTGATCAAACTGTATTGTTTCTTGCTAAACGAACCAGTTAATAAACAACAACTATGGAAGAGACAGGGTGATAGGTTAGGTTAGGTTGAAAATGAGTGGGATGATCTCATCGCCTTCCACTGCGACCCAGATGGGTCTATTGTAGCTCATGAATAACTTATAGTTATAAGTTATAAGCCACACCTTTTGATAAAGGTAATGGTTGAATTGGGTGAGACTTCTTTAAAGTCGGTATGCTCCAGTCGGGTAAATCCGAAGATCTGGAACCTGGTTCTTTTCAGAGCGGAGCAAGCAGGTACATAAAATGTGCTCTGCAAACTCGTCCTCCACGCTGCAGAATCGACAGTCCGATGTTTGTTGCAGACTTATCCTCCTCATGTGGTTGCCCAGGCGGCAGTGTCCTGTCATCAGTCCAGTGAAAATGCGTAGATCTTTCCTACTCCATTCTCGGATCTAAGCAGAGGCATTCAAGAAAGGGTTGGTTACAAACGCCTTCGAATAGGTTAGCCCTGGGTTATCTCTAAAGTTCGTGAGTGTTGCACCCTTCGTCCATTTTGAGATAATTCCTTTGGCAGTGCTTTTTGCAATACCCAGAATGGTTCTGGCCCTATGAACACATATTCGGTTCCTTTTTTAGCAAGTGCGTCTGCTTTTTAGTTGCCCTCCACACCACGGTGTCCCGGAAACCAGATCAAAGTAACTTTGTTCCGAGCACCGAGACACTCTAGGGTATTTATTCAGTTCCAAACCAGCTTTGAGGTAACTCGATTGGAGCTCAGGGCCTTAAGGGCTGCCTGGTTATCTGAAAAGATCTTTATAGTCTTGTTTGCGGGGAGAAAATTGATCAACTCTCTCGCTCCCAATTCTATAGCAATCATTTCTGCTGGCCAGATAGCCTAGGATTATTGATATGTCAACTCTAGGCCTCTGGCTTAAAACTCCTTTCTCAGTTTTGGAGCCGTCTGTGTACAACGCATAGTCTGCCTGATAGAGGGTTTTTTTCCCCCTTGTTCCATGCATCTCTCTCTGGAATGAGGACGCTGTATGGCTTTTCTATGTGCTGTCGGGGAACTAGAGAGTCCGAGACCATGCCGAGGATGGGGTGATTATTAATTTCACTCATCAGCCCCGTCTTGTCCCACCGCAGTTCTTCGTAACATTGACTACCCACTTTCAGGAGCCTGTAGGAGACCATTCTGGCCTTCCTCTCTGGCAGAATGTGGAGAGGAGTTAGGCCCAGCATGGTCTCCATGGCTCCCGTAGGTGTAGTTGACATTGCTCCAGTTATGGCGAGGCACACAAGCCGCTGTATTCCAGCCAGCTTTGCTCTGGCCGTCCGTTGGAGTCCCTTGTCCCACCAGAGCCTTACGTTACCATGGGGTTTACCACTGTTTGGTAGATCCAATAGATCAGTTGAGGACTGATCCCCCATGCTTTGCCGCATATCCTTCTGAGTGTCCAAAGGGATAATCTGGCTTTGTTAATGGTTTTATCCAATTGGGGGTTCCAGGTGAGTTTCTTATCTAGGGTGATTCCCAGATATTTTACCTCCTCCGCAAAAGGAATGGTTTCCCCAGCCAAGGTAGGTTGTCGAAGCTTGTCGAGCTTCCTTATCTTGGTGAAGGGGACAATAACAGTTTTGCGGGGGTTAACAGACATCTGCTCCCTCTCGCACCATCTGTTGATCGTATTAACAGCTTGTTGAAGGATGTTGGAAATCACATATTCGACCCCTACAGGGTGATGTGGCCAATCATAGAAATGGAGAGGAGGAGAAATTATTTGTCATGTCGGAAAAACGTTGGAGGTGGAGAACAGTCAGAATAGTGGAGCGTTTGCGCAATTTAGGGTTTGGCTTAGAGATGTATCAACAGAAATTAATCACTACATACTATTATACTGTTTGAAAATCTGCAGGAGACTTTTAAACACAAAAGATATGTTTTATAATAAGATAAATAAAGTGTAATAGCAATATGCACATATCAGAAAGACCGCTGTCAGAAAGCATCCATACGACTTCGATTTCTGCTCGCTCTACTACATACATCAGTCATAGATTTATGCGAAAGTGATCTGTGCCTGATATACCCATGTTCCTATTACACCGTGTTTAACTCATTGTCTGGTATAGTTTTTGTGTTAAGAATGTCTTACCTGTATAAGAAATATAAAAAATACATAACAAGTATATTTTAATAACAATATCAGGTGGTTGTAAAAATTACAACAGCTATGTAACATTTTATTTGACATTTAATTTTAAAAAACTAGCTGTTTATTTAAATGAAGTAGACATTAAACTATCTAGACCTCTTTGGTGAAAGTTCACTTTTTAATTACATGATAAAAATAAAGTAGGAAATATTTTTAAGCACATTTTTATCATTGAGTAATTCAAAATAAAATTTCTCAAAATGCTTTAAACATATAACAATTTTCGGACTTTTCTTAAACTGATCTAAAAATATTCGTAAGTCAGGATAACTATCCCCTTTTACGTAACTTAAAAAATTTTTAAAAATAAATTATATAACTTCATAAACTATTTCAGTAAAACAATAATTAAATAAATCGTTAAAACAAAAAAATGTTGTTTATCTGATTTTGTTGTAAAACTTTTAATAATTTCTTTAAAAATATTTTTTTGGTTTGGATACGGTAACACTAAACAGAAGTGATGGGACTTTTCTCGAAAAGTAATTTTTGGACTAGTCCGACGGACATGTCCGGAAACGTACTAAAAAGCAATGAAAAGTCACAAAGAAAAGTAGTCGATCTTGAGCATAGAAGATACTCAGTTAAATCTTCATCCTGGATGTTTTTCAAAAACACTTTGGTAACAATATTTGCATTTTTATTTTCGTTTCTTTAGGCCAGCGGATCCCAAAAGGTGGCTCACGGAACCCTGGGGTTGAATGGAAGGATTACAGGAGTTCGGGGAGTTAAAACATACAGTCACGTCATTGTAGAAAACAAACAGCAGACCGCGCGCCAATAAGCATTTGTGGGGCGAACGCAACGCGGCCGCGCAGCTAGTATTGGCGCGTGTAGCGTGCATTCCTAATTTCTAGGATTCTAGGCCAGTTAAGTAAGTTACTTCGTGAAAAGTGCACCTGTCAACGTACTTAGGGAAATTGCAGTGATACATCTTTTGACAGAAATAAAAATTTCCTTGGTTTATACGGTCTTTTTTTTTATTTTCAATTGTTTAGCATAGCACTACATATGTTTCGGAAAACTTTTCCACCTTCGGGTGCAGTCATAAATTAATAAAACATGAGGACGATTACATACAAATTAAAAATTTTTAAAATATTTTTACAATAACAGAAACCTTATCTTTCTGTTTCATTGTGTGAAGGTGTATTCGAATACAAGACAAAGCACACCAACCTCGACAAAACTGCTAAACTTTGAGAGCGAACATGTTCGAAAAGAAGGAAATATGACGAATCCTACTTATCCTCTGAATTTATTCCTGTAGGAATTGCTGATGATGTGTTATTTATAGTAAGGTTCTGTCCAATAGCTCTCTGGTACGGGAAAACCTTAAGTGACACCTTGAAACTAACCACCCTCATCTGAAGGATAAAAACATGACCTTTTTTGAAAGATACAGAGAAGCTCATAAAGCCGGTGTGGCGGCTTTACAAATATACGCTAAAACCGACTACGAAAACGCAACTTAGCATCATTCCTGCTAAGTTACATAATTGCTCGATCCGGGAAACCACACACAATTCCGGAGACTTAAATTATGATAGAATTTGTCAGCTGCTTACTAAGGGATGACGCTGCGAAGAAAGTTGCAGCAGTTCAATGTTCAAACAACACTATATCTGATTGGATCCATAAAATTTCAGACTATATTGAAGATTTATTAATTGGTAGATTGAAAGATAGTAAGATGTTTGCAATGCAACTTGACGAAAGTATTGATGTTTCCGGACTGTCAATACTGCTTGTTTTCGTGTGATACCCTTTCGGAGAATCTATTAGAGAAGATTTGGGGAAGAAAACAATTGGAAAAGAAATTTTCAATGTCATTGATAGCTACATAAATAAACACCATATTGATTGGAATAAATGTATTTATGTATGCAGTGATGGAGCTGTAGCGGAAAAATAAAAGAAACCGTATCAAGAATAAAGAATGCGACACCTAAGTAAAGTTCTTGATCGAGCCGTACGTATTGTAAATTTTACCAAATCCGACAGCTACAGTCAAGGATTTTCAAAAAGGCGTGTGAAGATATGGGGAGTGAGCATGAGATGGCTTTCGAGAGGAAAAGTCTTATCAAGATTATTTAAATTGCGCCACGAGCTTTAGATATTCTTGGCCGAACAACCAATGTTTGCGTCCGTTAATTCGATTTATAAATTACCGTACTACGAGCATTATTTAATGAAATTGGCTTATTTGGCTGACATTTTCGACATGAGTTGTAAGGTAAGAACCGCAACCACGTTTACAGTGCGAGACAAAATATATTCACTGAGAATCAAATTTGCCTTTTGGACTGAAACTGTTGAACAAAAAAGTTACGAATGTTTTCTCTTCTAAATGTCTTTCTGAAAGAAAATGATTTGCTAGGCTAAGTCAAAAACTTGAAAATTTTAAGCAAAAATAAGCTCTATAAGGGGAAAAAGCCTATTGATTTAAAAAAAATCTGATTAAAAATAGGGGGTTAAGATGGGTTGAAGTTAAAAAAAAAAATCCTAAATTAAAAACGAAAAGCGATATCAACATAAAATGTTTAGTAAAAAAAAGCTCCATAAGAAGAAATAAAGGCTATTGATATTGAAAAAAATCTGAATAGATTGGGGAGTTAAGGGTGTTTAAAATAAAAAAAATCCTAACTCAAAAATGAAAAATGATATCAACTTAACATTTTTAGAACATCAAGCTCTATAAGGAGAAGAAGCCCTTTGATTTTAAAATAGAAAATCTGATTTAAAATGGGGGCTTTAAGAAAGGTTGAAATTAAAAAAAAAAACATTAAATTTTTAGTAGAAATCAAGCTCTATAAGGAGATGGAGCCTATTGATTGTAAAAAAAAAATAGAATAAAAGTGGGGATGGGTTAAGACGGTTGAAATATTTAAAATAAATCTTACTCAAAAACAAACAATAATATCAACTTGAAATTTTTGTAAAAAATCAAGCTCTACAAGGGGATAAAGCCTATTGATTCTGAAAAAAATCTGATTGAAAATAAGGGTTGAGGGGGTCTATTAAACTGTGAAGAGTATAATTTAGAATGCCACGCATTATATATCTTCATTCTTGTTTATATCTGTGTAATATTATGTATTGTAATGGGACTGATCTTATAAAATACACATTTTAGTTCACTTGTTTTTTGCCAATGAAAGGTATTTAAAAAATATATTATTTTGACATATGTGTGACAAATTGTGAAAATAATTAAATTTACAATAAAAACTGAAAAATAGTAGGTTTCATATAATATTTTTTACACAAAAATCAATGTCAAGCTTTCTACATAACCTGATACATATTTAAAAATAATTTCAAAATATGAAGAAAAGTCAGTTGACTAACTAATAATGTTTATAGAAGGTTTTCAACGTATTAAAAACAAATCAAATATTAGAATAACTATAATATTCATTTATTCATTAATAGTTGTAGTGCTTGAAAACAGTATGATACAATTGTACAAAGTTTTGAACAGAACATACAAATGATAAAATTATTATAAAAAGTGAACCCATTTTAAATTACCACTGCTCATAACATAAAAGTTCTAAATTTTTTCGTATTCTGTAATAAAATAAACGGAAGCAGAGGTTACGGATAATGATAAAATCAGTCTAGAAAAACCGGCCCAATTTACTACAAATAACATGTGGCGCACAATGTTCCTTGTTAACAGAGACAGTGATCGAGGGAATCAAGTTAATTACCTACATCATCCACCATCTAAAAATCCCTCGAGAATGTTTACATTTCAGTAAATGAAATATGATAACGGAAAGTGGATTGGGAGGGAGTGTAGAGAAAATTTAGGATTGAATTAAATATGTGTTTCTGTAAGGTACATATTTTTATGAAGATATACCTAATCACATTTAATTCTTATATTGCATGGCTAAAAACTAAAATTAATTAATTATTTTTTATCAATAGATAGTCAATATTGATATTAATCATTGATTACATTACATTACATATCAATTAAACATAAAAAGAACGTTGTTTATTCTAACAGTGAATTAGAAGTGGTCAGTATCGACAGTTGCCGGTCTGATTTCGAACATTAGTTTGCTCATAATGAACACTAAAAATTTTAAATTTAAAATATTTAGTTATCTCTTATTGGAGTTTTGTTCCAACAACAATCTTGAAACCATACATAAACCAGTCCACAACTTATTGTCGACCACTGATAGTCAACGAACTATCCCTGTTGAGGATTGGGACTCAATTCGGAACTTGAATATGTTGGAACTCATTTTTGTGTTGTCATACACACTTTGTCAATAACGTCAAAGTCAAAAAAATTTATCAAATGATAAATTTTAAATTTGGAAAAAAATTACATAAAGTTCATTAAAATATCTATAAATGTTGATTATTCGATTGGTTAGTACAATAATAGAATATTATTCAACGAGCGGCTAATAGCTATTACCCGTGAGTAGAATACTGTACTTTTTCTATGATTATTGAATTAGATGATAGAAACTCACTGTATGAGTAACCACTTACATTTATCAATAGAAAGTGGATGTATAATACGTATATTGTTAAATGGTCATAGAAAAACTTTATTTTAATTTTTTTACTATATTTATGTCAGAATAATAATCCTTTTCCTTAATAGACATATTTTACGACCCCCAAAATACACTTATCCATTCGGGTCATTTAAGCCAATATGTTTTTCGAACTAGTGACGATGTACGTGTGGAAAAATCGGTTAAAATCTCGATTTTTCCTTACAAGATTACGCCCTTATTTCAACCTTTTAGCTACTTGCAACATTAAACTCTTTGATTTTCCGAAGTCTAGTTAATCATTTAGTGAACATGGCTTGCGTAAATATTTGGTATGACCCAATGAAAAATTTAAGTCAGTTAAAACGCTGATTCCGTTTGCGGTTCTAAGCATAGAATATATAGGAGAGCGGGCTGGGCTGTACAGGTTAACGTAGAGGAGATTATTCTGAATAGCTGAGGATATCTGATTCCACATCTCGGAACATTAAAATTAATTAAATTTAGAATATAGGGATCATTAATAACTCCATTAATTACTTTGTGTAAAAACGATAATACATTTATATTTCTTCTCAAGGATAGATGATTAATTTTAAATAATTTTTTAAATCGGTAGTTCTTGTTACTGTATAATCCGGCCAAATATTATGTTTTTGTAATAAAGATATCTTAAAAATTTATTTTGAATTTTTTCTATTCTAATTAAGTATACAGCTCGCTGTGATTGCCAAATAATAGAGGCAGACTCCAAAATTGGTTGCACAATTGTGAAAAATAAAATTTTGATTGCATTTAAATTTGAAAAACATTATGTATTCCTCATTACAAAGCCTAATGCCCTATTGCCCCTACTACAAACTTCTTCAAAGTGCTGTGCAAAAGACAAAGTCGAATCATAGCTTACTCCTAAATCTTTTATTTCATAATTTCTTTTAAGACTTTCTGTTTGCATAATATAATCAAATAATATCAAATTTCTTTTATGAGTAAAGGTTATAAAGTTACATTTTTTTGTATTGAAAGGCAATTTATTCACTAAACTCTACTGTACTATTATGTCTATGTCCCTTTGTAATCCAACACAGTCCCTAACTGTTATAACTTCTTTGTATATTTTAAGATTATCAGCAAATAGTACACAAGCCGACTCTTTTAGAACATTTGGTAAATCATTAATAAAAAGCACAAAGAGAAGAGGACCGAGATTTGAGCCCTGAGGAACTCCGGAGTTCACATCACATAAATTAGAATTGTGGCCCATATATGTAACAAAGAATTTTCTATTTTGTAAATAAGTTTTAAATATTTTGTGATTTATCCCAAAATGGCTTAGCTTAAGCAATAGTAAGTCATGATCAACTTTGTCGAATGCCTTTGTGAAATCTGCGAAAATTACATCCAGTTGGTTTCTGTTTTCAAACACTCTGTAAATTTCGTTTGTAAATTGTAGTAGGTTCGTATTTACCGATTTCTTGTTAATAAATCCATGTTGCCATATAGTTATGCTATTTTCTACATGGGAATAAAGTTGTTGATATATTATTTGCTCAAGTAATTTTGCTGGCGCTGACAAAACTGAAATACACCTATGATTTGAGATATTAGTATTTTATTCTGATTTGTAAATGGGGATACATTTTGCAGTTTTCCATTTTTCTGGAAATGTATCCGATTTAATGGCTAAACTAAAAATATGCAGCAAAGGAATTTCTAACCACTCTGAGTAACCTTTCATTATGTATGAAGGGAGCTCATCAACCCCGGCTGATTTTTTAGGTTTTAACTTTTTTATTGCATTCTTATAATCTTTTTGAGTCACCAGATTTAAAATAAAAACATCTAAAGCGCTATTACTATCACTTATAATATCGTAATTACCTTTTATATTATTGTAAACGCTTTGAAAATAATTAGCAAAATTTTGTGCAGGTTGAGTACTTGATAAATTATAATTGTTATTAAGGTGAATTTGATCACTATTTGAATTATTTTTCTGCCTTTTCTTATTTTTCTGCCTTTTCTTATTTTTCTGCCTTTTCTTATTTATGTAAGACCAAAAACTATTTATCGGTTGCTATGTTACTTTCTATTTTATTTATGTAATTTGCATGTTCGGTTTTGGTTAGTTTAATTCTCTTTCTAATCTCTATGTATCTAGTTGCATATTCATTTGATATCATCTTTAGTTTTCTGAATTTTCTTTTTTTCACCAAGCAATTGTTTTAGCTCCATCGTAAACCATGCAGGATAACTCCTTCTAGGTCTTCAATTTTTAAATTTGATAATACATATATTAAAAATATTATTTAATGTTTCATAAAAAAATTCTGTTGCCCTATTTACATCTTTTTCAGCTAAGACATTACCCCAGTTAGCTCAGTTTTTTTACTAATAATTCAAAATTGGCTTTTTTAAAATTGAACTTGTTACTTAAATCCCTATTGTCACAGTATTTTTTACCTACATCTTTATTGATCTCAACGTATATTTCTAAGGCCGGATGGTACTCACTGTCCTCTTTCACTAAAGCTTGGCGACACTTTTCAACAACGACCTTAGTGGAATCTGATGACATAACCAGATCTAGCGTCTCCCCTCTGTTATTATTAATAGTATTTTTTTGAGTCATAGAAGTAACAGATACAAATTACGA